TTTGTAGAAAGATCTACATATATTGAAGTGCTATTACATTAGGCGTTTGGCACTTATGTAAAAAATATGGCAGTTATATAAAAAAAATACGACGTTTACAAAAAAAAATACTAAGGTTATATAAAAAAATTGTAAGCCATAAGGATAAAAAATTTGAGTGCCATGTACCCTTCTGCCAATAGTAAAAGGGGGGGAGCAAATTCAGATGGCAATGGGAGCAAATTCAGATGGAAATGGGAGCCAATTCAGTTGGTAATGGACGCAAATTCAATTTCTATGGAAGCCAATCAGATGTCAATGGGTTCTAATTAGATGGAAACGGATGCTAATTAGATGGAAATAGGCGCCAATTGAATGGATAAAACCAGTAGTTGATCTGATATATATATAAGCTGTTGTCCACTAATTGGGTATATATAAGCTGATGACAGATGATCTGCACTATATATAAACATATGATATCTAATCTGATATATATATATAAGTGGATCACAGCCGATCTGATATATATATAAGCTGATGATAGTCGATCTGGTATATATATAAGCTGTTGACTGCCAATTGGGTATATATATATAAGCTGTTGACTGCCAATTGGGTATATATATAAGCTGTTGTCCGCCAATTGCATATATATAAGCTAATGACAGGTGATTTGCATTATATATAAACATATGATATCCAGTCTGATATATATATAAGTGGATTACAGCCAATCTGATATATATATAAGTGGATAACAGTCAATCTCATATATATATAAGCTGAATACTACCAATCTAGTATATATATAAATAAATGATATCTGATCTGATATATATGTAAATCAATAACAGTCAATCTGTATTATATATATATATTTATCACATCCAATTTACTACTTATATAAGTTAATAAAATGTAATATATAATCAATATTAGCCAATAACATTTGATTTAATACTAATATTAGTCTATAATATCTTATCTGTCTCTGATATTAGTCAATACCATTAGATCTATCACATTATATATATTCACACTTGTCAATATCCAAGTCATATCCAATCATCTCGTCAAATATAAGTTACATACTCTAATCATATTTAATCTTTAATTTTATATATATTCACAACTCTTTTATAATCTTTATATATATATATGTTTGATGGCAACGGTAATATTTTGATTTTAATGAAAAATGTTTAAATGTTGCTGCATAGCTCAAGTGTTATCACTTTGTTTTGGTTCTGAGCACCCCTGTTCGACCCTACATGGTAGCATTCTTTTATTTCGATTTTTTTGCGTCGTTTTGTTGTTCCCGATCTGGGTTGGTCTTCCTTTTACTATAGTAAAGTCAAAAGGTCAAACCAACTGGGAATCAAGGGGTATATGTAAAATCAAAGATAGGATTAAAGATACTTTTTATGGATATGAATTGAATTGTCATATATAGTTTTCTAAAGTAATACTGCGCATTATCTGAATTAGCTATTATATTATATTTAAATAAAAGGAAAGTCATTATACTTTGGTTAATGCTCAGGAAGATATTACTGCGCATAAGAAGGTATTGTGGTTAATTATTTTCAGATTGTACGGATTCATCAAAATAATGTTTGACAGTTTTTTTTGTAATAAAACAACAGTATAATACTACTGTTATAAGTTTTCTTCTTTTAATAATTTGTTTATTAAATTAAAGAGATGTAAAGGAAAAGTCTGTTTACATATTAAGGGAAGGTTTATGATTGCTTGTTATAATAAGACTATTATAAAAGTTAAAATCTCAAGAAATGAAATATAAATAGAGATATTATAGTTCTAGAGTATATTTTTTATTATAGTATAGCAAACGAAAAAATTAATATAAAATAAACTATTTAGCTGAAGTATAAAATGAACATTTTTTTTTTTTTTTTAATTTTTTATTATTATTATTTTTATTTTTTTTTTATATTTTTGTTTTTATATTTTTTTCTTATTTTTTATTATTATTTTTTTTTATTTTGTTTTTTTTTTTTTTATTTTTTTTTTATTATTTTTTTATTATTTTTATTATTTTGTTTTTTATTTATTTATATTTTATTTTAATGCTTTTATTATATTTATAATAAATTAGCATTTCAAAAAAATTGTGAATAAACATATTAATTTTTTTAGATAAATTCTATTTTTTTTAATATATATATGATATTCGGCTAGGGTGGAAATATTTGATTTATTTTAATTTTTACCCACCTGCGCACTATACCAAATCCCGGCGACCATCTAATCGTAGCATGCTTCAAACTCCGAAAAATTCCAAAGACCGACAATGCGCCTCTAATACCACTTTTCAGTTACTATTCGTCATTAGCTATCGATAGAGCCAAGAAGCGTACAAATACAATCAGTAGAAGTCGAGAAAAGTAGAATTATATTAATTTTATTTTTTGAATAAATATTGATTTCTCAAAAAAAATAAAAAAAAAAAATAATATTATAAATGCCGACTGAAGCCAATATTTTTTATTTATTTATTTATTTTTTGGTATCTTGCGTGCCCTTTAACCGAGGCGACAGATTGTTCAAATAATCTCAATTATAAGAGGTATATATATATATATTTGATATTCTTTATATTTTTTGTGAAGAGGTTGAAAAGTTGTAAAAAAATATTTTCAATGCAGTCATTGGTGCAATGATTCCACTTGAGGAATGAGGATGGGGGGTTGTTTTTTCAAGCAGAATAAACAAAAATAATACTCTTATTTATTTATTTATTTATTTATTTTATTTTTCTTCTGTGTGCATCTCTTTCAATAACCATACATATTCACATTAACTTGCCATGAAAGTTACAATTGAAATTACTACAATCATACACATGCGCACATGTATGCACACACGTATTTTACCAAGAACATCTCCAAAAATATATTATATTTGTTAAAAGCGCAAGCTTTCACCAAGACCACGAGCAAGTTTTGATATGTATCAACTAGAAAACAATTACTCGCATTCTCTTTGTATGATAAAGCCACATTATTATGATTTTTTATTTTATATATTTTTTAGGCTCCCTGTAGTATATATTGGCAAAAATAGGAATAATCGATATATATATATTTGAAACAGTGAATAATAAGAAGAGTAGGCGTGTGCAGTGATGATAACTAATTTTCGTTTGTTGGTATATACCTTGATCGAAAAATATACTTTTACTGTAAAGGTTTAATACTCATGAGAAAAAGGTGGTAAGAATAGCGTCTGTACTTATGGCTATTGTAGAAAGCATATGTACAAAAGAAAAGCTTCCATTTCATGTTAGATTGAGTAATGATAAAGGTGCATTACATACCAGAAACGAAAGCCAATTTATTGGTGGGGCAAGTTTTTGTTTACAAATAAAGGGCTTTTATCCATTATATACGCTTGGGATAATTCACGGTGATTACAATGGTTCAAAAAATAAGACACAATATTCTTAACTAATATGAATTTTTATTGTGAAAAGAGTTTATTTTGAGTGATAATAGTATCCGTGATGGCACAATAAGTTAAACCTGTTTTGTAAAGAACTTAAGAATAAGTAGTTTCACCACAGAAAGTCAATCGGTTTTTTTTTAAAAAGGAAGAGAACCAGAAAATCATAAAATTACAAGGAAGTAAAGTATAAGATTTTTCCACCCCTGGGAAAATATGTATGAACAGGCAGTACGCATCGCAAGAGAGGTAGACGATTGGCTTATTCCCCGTATGACATAGCTCAATAAATAAATAAATAATATTTAAATTTTGAGCCACAACAATTAAACGATGTTTTTCCCCATTTTGATTCTTTGTGTAGATAGAATTTGGAACGATTACAAAACAGTAATAAAAATAAATAAGTTATACAACAATGGTAATGTATTTTAAGAGGTTAAAACCATCGACCACATGGAGGTCAAAGTGAGACTCCAATAACTCCCAAATATTTTCTCATTCACGTTTATTGTCAATCAAATTACCTTGGCCTCATCCCGCACACCAAAGGTATCAACCATTTTTTATTCTCATTATTGTTATTCTATACTTCATCTGTATCCTTCATCACGCGTTTTTTCACCCTGGACAAGAGTCGATGTATTTTGCTTGATGTTAAAAAATCATCTGTTTCTATAGGTGTTTCTATGTGTTCTCTAATCCTTTTTTAGGAATCAGAGATCTATTGCACTGAATTTAAAAAGAAAGAAAGAAAGAAAGAATGACAAAGAAATTGAATTGTCTAAAATTGCACCCAACTCAAATTAATTCTTGGTACAGTTGGCGTTTGTGTGCGTGGATAAACAATATAAAAGAAAGGAATAACTAATTGCCTTTCAATATTAGCAAAATCGTTGCTATTATGGTGGACGATGAGGACTGTAGTGGTATATGAGTTTTGGTTAGGTGCAACTGTACTAATATTATTTTGTTTTTTTCGGCAGTTGCTTTGTGTTGGCAGTTTAATTATTTTCATGAAAAATGATAAAATGGTAAGAAATATAAAAACCTATAAATCCAGTGTTATTTGATTATGTACTGGATCCGATTGTTTTGCGTGAGTGCGGGTGTGTGCGCAGAATGGTATCCTTTGATGTACCATATTCATTTATTTATGACCAAAACCGATAATTTCTTATGTATACCCATCTGCCAACTAGTCGAAAAGTTTAGTAGCAGTACTCCTAATGATTTGCACCAGTGCTTATTTCCATGTCATGTAAGACACATTAGTATAAAAATACACCTTTCTTTTTCTTTTTCTTTTTCTTCAGCAGCCACTTGAATGTAAAGTATATCGACCAACTCGGGTTCATTGAAAACTGTAAAATAAATATGAAACTTTTCTTGCTAATTGCCTTGTAAATATTTTCGCAATTACATTTACTGTTCTCTACAAGAGCCTATCTGAAAACAAATATAATATTTCTTGCTTTAATTAGAACTGTGGAGGCTCAATTAGCATGAAAAACAATATTCGACTGTATAAGTATAATTTCTTGAAGATGTCGAGTATATCTGACTCTGGGTATCACACACAAGTACTCTGTTTTTTTTCTTTAAAATTAAATACAATAGAAGCTGTTAATAAAATAAGTTAATATAAAGAGTACATAATGATAGAGAAAAACAAATAAGTATTTCTATACTGTCAAATATATACACGGTTTTGTCAAGTACTATCGTGGTTACTATTTGATTTTTTGAATTCAAGATATTAGAGTTACAAAGTACTTGTGGCGTCCATTATAATACCTTGGGCTGGTAATATAAAACGAAACTCATTGGTATCCAGAGCTATATCATTAAGAAAGAGTAAAATGCGTACTTAGGGATGTTCCTTGGAGTACTTTCCCTGCCTACTTTACACTCGCGTTTTAATAATAATTATCGTTTATTTCCGTACTTTGGTAATTAATATTATATATGTATATATATATATATACCAACGCCTTTTTTTGTTAAATATTTAAATTGAAAGGGTTGCTCTAACACAAAGGTCGGATGTTTGACTGTCGAAACTTGACCAAAACTTGCAAGTAATTAGTGTGATAGATGTACAATTAATAATGATATTTATAATATTATGATCAATCTTACTCACAAGTATTTTAATCAAGATTATTACACCAAAAAGTATTTTACTCAAAAATATTAAAGGCACCCAACAAGTGTTGTACTTTTTTATTGAACATTATTTGAATAGCAGTTAAAGCATTGCTGCAACGAATTGTGAAGCATCGATAGCTAGTAAAACCCTTATTGTCATTATATTAAAATATATATATAGAATTCAATTTGTAATTCTTACTAATAGAGACCGTAAGCTTAGTAGAGTTAATTACATTGATAATAAACTGATATATCTCAATAACCAAGACCAAAAAAAATCGTATAAAACATATTTTATTTTTATTTTTATTATTGTAGATAAAGGTACTTCTTCTTTTAGATTTCCTGAAACCGCCACACATAGTATACTTTTTTTTAAGAGAAGACAAACCTTTTCAATTCGAAGAAGAGTATGATACTGAGACACCACTATCGTCATTTGACAATAACTATCCGGATTCAAGTGAGGAGTCCAACAATGAGAATGAAGCTGACATTGTTGGTGTCATAGTATTTAAAGATACGACGGATTCAGGTATGCACCTATTGAACAAAGAAATATACATGAATCATATTACAGATAATAATGATACTTATCATAACACTTGCCTTTCTGTAGGCCTATATTTGAAAATAAATGGCACGTCTCAAGCAATTCAACTTATGGTTCTATTCGGTTTTGTCTTTTAAGTGGTTTACTTGGTTCAAGCAGGGAGGATCTACAACACTGAAATTATTCCAATACTTTCTTGTTACCTATGAGAAGGATACTGATCCACATGTCTGTTGATGTATCGAAAATCATGTCTGGATTCGATCTTGTGACAAAAACCGTCTTCAAGTACACCATCTGTATCAAACGTGATATAATAGACTTGCCAGGGTATCATCAATCCAACTGTTCCTCCGAGAAGCATATTCCACCCCATCTATCTATGACAGTTATTCTCTGTATGTTGATCCAACAATTGAAAAGCCAGTCCCTCTCATGGTATTTCTTTACAGCTTACTGAGAAAATATCTTGTCACAACATTTCCACAAAGTCAAGTCAGATGAGTAAATCGTGCACTAGGGGTCAAGCAAAACAATAGAAAGTACGATGACGGACGTATACGATGATGCAATTTAGACTGATATGCTCGGTGAAGCCGACGGGACCTTTGTAAATCATGCCCATTCTCTCATGTTGACATTGAATGTATATTGGCTTAAGCTGTTTGAAGGCCGGACTTATACAGGCGGTGCTTTGTACTTACTTATCAGCAATTTCCCCAAGGAAGACCAAATGAGACCAGAAAATATTATCCTCGTTGATGTCATGTCTGGTCCAAAGGAAGTAGAGGGCGACTAGATGGACATATTTGTGGAAACATTTGTTGATGGGATGGTAGACTGTTATGGTGGTATAGCTGTGGAGACTACCAAGTTCCCTGATGATACTACTGTCTATACTACTATCATGTATGTCGCTTCCGAGATACATGCTGCTAGAAATACTGCCGGATTCATAGAACATGTCATGTAAACACATATGGCTGCCATAAATGCAAACGATATTTCTCCGTGATTACTGCATCAAGTAAGATTAATTACTTTGGGTGTGACAATGAAAACTGGGCATCACGGACAGAAGAGACGATATCCATATATGACAATATGTGGTTTTGCACAGACTCAGATGTAGAAAGAGAAAATTTGGAGAAGCAGAACGGCATGCAGTTTTCAGAGTTGCATCGCTTATATGATTGTTGATATCACGCACAACATATTTCTTGTGATAGCGAACCGTATGGTCAGTGTTTGAAACGACTTTGTATTTTTCCACTGATGTTATTGCTCGTATACAACGCTTTGCTGATGATATTCCTCTTCCTCCTGAATATACCGTCTTATTCGAAAAAAGTCGCGTCTGAGTTCCTATATATGAAGGCAGGTGAGTGGCGATCGTTGTGTCTGGTGCATTTTCTGGTGGTGTTGGAGGAGTTTTTGCCCAAAAGTGATTAAAATACCTAGACCAATCTTGCTAAGGCATGCCGAAAGTTGAAAGGTCCATTGAACAAGTACTTACATATAGACTACACAGGCCAGCCCCTTGGTAAATTTGGGAAATAATGTCAGAGTATTTACGAAAAAAAAAGCAGTAGCACACCAAATATGCATTTGTGTGAGTTGATGCTTGAATTTGGTCCGGTCTTTACATTTTGTATGTATAACCTTAAGATATACAAGTATAAGTTAAAAAAACGTCAAGACAAACTACCGTAATGGTCTAGAGGTGACATTAATGAGCGTTTTTCTGGAGAATGCGTTCACTGACACTTTTCTTCCTGTATATTCCATTAATCTTCTGCTGCGTATAATAAGAATTTCCTAAGGCGTCGCGCAAGTGCTATCTGAATCTCATATACCGTGTCTTCAGTGTATTGATAATGGTTATCATCCTGCATTTCCATTCGGCCTCCCGATGTTCCAGCAAGTCGTCAACAGCCTATGGTACAATGTAATCGGAACTAAGGCGTCGCCACCAACTACCATGCCATTGAAGTTACAACATTTGAATACGATGAAGTATGATTACTCTTAATGGCTATTCAAATTCTATGTCAAGGCTTACCAGAATACTTTTTTTTTCTGCGGCGTGGGGAGTATTTCACTTGGTGAGAATGTGCTGGTAAACATTTGCATTCAGAAGATGAAGAATATTTCGTTGCTTGGCCAGGAGTTCTTTAGTGAACAGAAGAAATGTCGCAGCTCAATTGTGCGGGTTATGTTTTTTTGGTAGGATAGTTGACGACATCTCCAAATTCCCTGGTCAGATTGAATACATATTTACTTGTCATCAAGATTGGTAGAATCAAAAGTGTCAACGTTTGGTTTTTTAAAAAGATTTGTGACGCCATTCTGTCAGAATTAAGCGTTATTTGGATAAGGTCTGAATTTGTGGGTGAGTGGGTTTATTAAGAAGAGTATTGCGTGCATCATCCCGGTGCATCGTCTGCATTCGTATTTCGCGTTGACTACGCACAACATCCAGGGTGGGATCCAAAAGCGCCTAGTCATCCCACTGCCTAGAAAAGTAGTCATGAAAAAATAAAAAAATAGAATGATTTATATTACTTATATAAATAATTATAATAAGAGTTATTTTGACTGCGAAAGGGTTTGCCTTTATTTATCTCTCTATTTTTCTCTGGTTTTAGCATTACTTCTTTATCAAATATTTAAAATTATAGTGAATTCTATTATCAACGAATAGTAAAAACCGTTATTTATTTTTATTGTTTTTATCAAAAGTATGAAAGACAAAATACCTGTATATTTAATACCCAATGCTCACCATTTTCTTAGCTTTTATCAAAATAAACTTACAGAGAGCGATATTACAATTTCCAACGAAAAAAATCGTGGATAAAACAATCAAGGTTATATAATTAAATAATTGTTTTGTATATATATATATTTCATTAATCGGCTGTAAAATAAAGTAAAATAAAATAAAATAACTATTTATTTATTACTTCCCGTCTCGACATTACTACCGCATCATCTTTTATCGATTCAACCCACATCTTTCAAAACTATGAATAAAAATCAATAAAATACTATATACTCTGTATTTTTTTTTATTGCTGCCGCGTGTTATTCTATGCAACAACACGCACCTTTTTCTCCTTCAAAAGTTCGACGTTTCTTGGAATAGCTGGACACTTGGAAAAGCTAATGACCTTTATTCTTTTTGATCATTTCTCCGTCCTTTTAACTTGCTAAAGTATTCTTTGATCTGTGTTATAATATCAACAATTAGGAATTCTAAATAAAAAAATGACACTCCTTTGTAAAAAGAAAAAAAAAATGTTAAAATTATTTGAACAAAAGCCGTGGATTATACTTACTCTTATCTTTCTTGTTCGACGACGAGAAAACCGATTACGCCCGGCTAACTTTTCCGGCAAGGATTTTTCCTTATGAAGTTTATACGAAAGGTGTCTACAAGCTTTCTCTTCCATGACTGAAGACAAAACATACTCTACTTCAGGCTGCATATGGTTGTAGCTCTGCACCATTCCAGCAATTGGGCGGTTAGATATCGAGAAGGTACCCTCATCAATGTTCAATGGCGTAGCTGTCATAACTGCTTGTGTTGGAGAACGGATCATACTGAAAAAAAAGGTAGAAATTACAATGCGCACAGTTGTTTGATAACAATTGAAAATGTGGGATAGTTTTCCATGTTCACAAGTTGAAAACACAGTTTTACTGTATTATATTGGCTCGGATATAACAAGCAACAAAAGTTATTCTATTTATTATTATAAAGACTTTGTCAATAAAGTACATGTAGCACTTGTTTCCCTTTTATTCCATTGGTAAAGAAACACACTTGTCGTGTCTTCTACAATGGAACGAAATTTTGAAGAGTGTCATTGCACTGAATGCATTAAAAGTGATGATGGGATACACTCTAGTACCAAAGAGAATTTCCCATCGTTATAGCAAGAAAGTAGCTTTAAAAGATGCCGTTAGAAGTGAAATGTGTATGGCATTCAAGGTATAAAATTTGCGTTTTTATATGTTAACAGATTTTATATTTAACACAGGTGCGTAGACACATTTAATGAACGTTGATGCAGATTTTAAGTCATATTTATTTGAGTATAAAAAAAAACGACTCTCGTATTATATTCTATATTTGTAGCTATTGTAATTCATGAATATGGATCTGCGGAAGTTCATGCACGTCAGTCTGACTTACCCATCTGATATCTCCCCTATGTCATTTGTCAATGTTTCTGTCGACAGTGAGGTCGATGAAAATTTCAATGAAATTGACGTTGAGCATGAGAGCAATGAGAATGCCGAAGATATTGATGATATTAAAGTTGAAGAGGTAAACACTGAATGTTCGTATAAAAATTGAAGAAAAAACCTAAAAAAAAGAGGAAAAAAAGTGTTAGTTTTTTTCTATTTTAAAGTAGATATGTTTTCAAACAGCAGTATGCCTGAGAATCATGTACACAGATTCATCGCAACATTTATTGTGCTATTCGAAATTTGCTACGTGATCACCAACAACTTGCCTTTTAGTGGGTGGTTTAAAGCTGAGAACATTATCCTTGTAGGACTTTTGCCTGGTCCCAAGGAGCCCAAAACTGACGAAATAAATAACTATCTTGAGCCAATGGTAGATGAATTTGTACAGCTGCATCGTGGAGTAAGAGTCCCAGCATTCGAGTTTCCTGCTGGCGAAGTGATTCGTGCTGCATTGATGATGGTTGCCTGCAACATCCCAGCTGTCAGAAAGACCAGCGGATTTACTGCATTGAGAAGCAAAATCGGCAGAAAATTTGCATTTATGAAAGCAGACGAGTGGAAATCGTGGGTGTTGGTGTATTCTCCTCTGGTGTTGAAGTATGTGCTCCCATCCTTGCATTTCATTAACTGGATTTATTTTTTTTATTTATGTCGTCACCTCGTAATACCCAGCATTACATTTGATGATATTAATACCGCCCATAGACATCTCGAACAATTTTGTGAAAAATGCAACAAGATTTACACCGCCACAATCCTTACCTGTAACATGCACCTAAACCCTCGTTTTCGAGAAACTATTCTAGATTTTGGACCAGTGTACAGTTATTGGCTCTTTATATTCGAGAGATACAATGACCTACTCAAGAATATCAGTACAAACGGCAAGGACAGTTTTAAAGCCACGTTTATGAGATGCTTTGTTGAAGATATAAAAAAGTGATTTTGTCAATTCTGCTCTTACATGTCCCACTCAAGCTCCCTTTCTTCCTGTCTTTTCCAAACTCGTCTGTTTATCCACACCTGTCCTAACCTCGCTACCTGCCTCCTCCACACTTGTTCAACCACCATTAATTTTGTAAGCATTTGTAGATTCTTCTGAAACTACCAGAATTATTATCATTGGCAATGAACCTCTCCCGTCTACATCCTTCACACTTTCAGTTAGTAAACCTTCTTCAATGGGTGATATTGATTATCCCTACTTGTTGCAATACTACAAACTTGCATACCTCACCCCCGATCTCGTCCATTATCAAAGTTCTGCCGCCTCTTTATTCTTTGCCAATGATCAGATTATAAAGTTGGAATCAATCAACAATATTGGCCAAGTGTACTAAGGCAATAATTGAACGACTGGCCGCGGATCATACGTGCAATCATTGTTTCCTGGCAGTGATAGAAGTACAGAAACAACCTTGACTTGTCAAATCAAGTATATCCATTCATTCCTTTACTCCTCCCCCAACATAGTCATATTATAAAACCAATTCCACTCATCATAATCAACATGTATTCGCGTTTGTCAACTGACTTCCTTTACTTGCAGATAAATTAAAAGAGAAAGACGGAGTTGCCATTTATGGTTCAACACCTTCGCCGTCAAATTATCATTCAATTTTGCCTATACATAGAATCTCTTTAGAAGTAGCAATTGCTAATCATACAACAGGACTTGTCTAAAAAAACTGGTAATTGCCTTACCAAAAAAGCTTTACGCTTAACAAAAACAATAATAAATATCCTTTCTTTCTTTTTTAAAACAGAAAAAGAAAAATAAATGATGATAACAAAAAAGGACAGAACAAAATAATTACTACCTGTATATAAATCGTCAGCATTGAGTTTGTGAAGATGAGATAAACAATAATTTTTATTATTTTTATTGTGGCCCATCTCTTAGGGTCCACGGAGGGAAACATAACGCAACAACATCGGGAGCTGGTTTCTCAGACAGGCTGGTGAGATTTCTGTCCAACAACTGACGAATGTTGCTACCCAAGTTTGCTCTCACAATTTTATCAATGATGAAGATGAGGTTGTTAAACTAAAAACATAGTTATATATATTAGGGGGTTTCATTATCTCTTCGGATAGAAATTCAGATTAGGATTCGGATGGCGGGTTTTAAACATGTAGCCAATGAAAACTTTTATAAAATGGAAATTATTGAGTCCCCCTTTTTAATTAAACGTCTTATTCTTGTACCTGATACTTTATTATATACGATTATGTTAATATCTATCACTTATATTGGGAATTTTGCTTATTAAAGCTTGTATATAAAGTAGAAATATGTAAGACAGGCAAATAAATTGACAAATTCTTGCTTTAAGTATTTCAAGACGTCAAAATGAGCAATCCTCAATTTCAATCCAAAAGCTTTTTTCTTCAGGTTAAATCTACACATTTTAATTCTATTCAGGTTCTTCTAAGCCAATCATTTTACCATTTAAAAACCCCCTTTACGAATCATAATCTGAATTTCTATCCGAAGAGATAATGAAATCCCCTATTATATTTAAGTCTGCTATTACAGATATTTTAGATTTTATTATAGGATGTTTTTTTTTTGCAGTGGTGTGATGTTAGGTATACCAGTATCTTTGGGTATTTACCTATTACCAGCTTTAGTTCGGTAGTCTTTTCACAATTGAGGCCAACACCCAAGATTCCATAATTCATGCAGAGTTACTGGTATATATACCTCTTTGAGCATTTGCTTGGTGTCTGCTATATTTGTCTAGTCTTTTCATAGTCAAGGCTACTAATTGAGATTCCGCTGCTCATCTGGGGTAAAAGGTATATATGCTTTTTTTTTTAATAGTTAATCATTGCTTGTTGAAATTGTCTAATAATTTTACAGTCAACGCTGATGATCAAGTTTCTGCTATTCGTCGAAGTAACAGGCGTACACCCTCCTTTGAATATCTTTCTGTCATCCATCATATTTATCTAGTCATACCATAGTCCACACCAAGGTTCAAGAGTTTAGTCTCCACCCAGGTTCACAGATATTCAAGTATAATTGCCCTTTTAGGACTGCCGGCTGCTATTGCCTATTGCTTTTAATATATAGGTCAAGGGATAAATTTCCTACTCTCAACCATGAGCCACAGGTATCACCGTTTATTTTGAACATTTATTTATTATCGATTATATTTGATTAGTATTTTAAATCCGAGTCCAACGATCAAGCTTCAGCTTTCCGGGAAGGGTTGAAGATATCCATGTACCTTTTATTTTTTTAATATTGACTGAATTTCTCTGGCGTTTGCACATTTAAGTCCATTGATCAAGTCTTTGGTCATTATCAAGTTTCCACTCAACATTATTGGGTAAAGGTATATAAGATTCTTAGATTACTTTCTCACAGCCAATGACATTTATCAAGCGTTTTTAGAGTCCTGGTCAACGATCAAGATCCGGTTATTAATTCAACGTCTTAGATATATAAGTGTATTTAAATATTACTTTACTACTGATTCTATCTATTTAATTTTTTTTCTTTTTCTTTTTTACATTCTATGCTAGCCCTCACGGCTCTAGTCTCCATCAAGGCTTATAGACATACAAGGTTTTTTTTATTGGAATATGTTCTTACTATCAGTTTTAATTTTTCTAGTAATTTCACAGTTCATACCAACGATTAGGCTTCCGATTTCCATCCAGGGCTACAGACATACATCTTTATTACACCATTTACTTACATCCTGTTTTATATGTCCAGAATCTTCACAGCTCATGTCAACAGTCACGGTTTTGACCTACATCTCCAACCATAGGTATATATATATTTCCGAGAATTTACTTACTATTAGGTGTATTTTTCTAGTGTTTTCATAGTAAAGACCAACGATTAATATTCCGACATTTTCCTACAGTCATAGACATACAAGTCTCTTTGAGCCTTTAGTTACTTTAAGCTGTATATTCCCATACTTTTTACGGCAAAGACCAGCGATCAAGGTTTCACTCTCCATAAAAATCCTCAGGTATACAAAGCTCTTTAAATATTTTCTTACTATGAATTAGATTATTCTAGTGTTTACACAGTCAAAGCCAAACTATAAAGCCTCTGTTGCCCGTCCAGGTTCTCCAGTATATATATATATATATATTGAGCATCTACTTACTGGTTGTTGTTTTTAGTTATCTTGACATAGTCAAAACCAACGATTAAGGTTTCACCATACATCCAGGGTATGAGATACACATGTCTCGTTTAGTATTTAGCTATCAACTATTATTTTGTCTAGCTTTTTTTTTTATATTTTAAGCCAACGATCAAGTTTTGAATATTTATTCATGATCACAGGTATATATTTCTTTTTGAAAATATACTTATTGTTGGCTTTCTTTTTTTAGTCTATTTACCAACAGGGCGAACGATCAATATTCCGCTGCCTATTTTGGGCTATATGTATACATGACTCTTTAAGCAGTTAATACCTGTCGCTTTTATTTGTCTAGTCTTTTAATCCCTAAGCCCAAAATTTATGGCTCTGCTCTACATCATGGGCCGTAGGTATACAAGTCTCTTTGTAAATATATTCACTGATGGTTATAAATACTTATAATTTTACAATTAGTGTCAAGGATCGTTGTTTAACTCTTATTCATGGGTTACAGGTATACATTGTTTAGTTGCCCATTATTCTTTGAATGATGCTTGTATTTGCTTAGTTTTTTCTTTCTTTGTAGCTTAGGTCAATGATCATGGTTTTATTCTTTGTTAAAAATCAAAGACATACGAGAAGTTTTAGGAATTTTCTCACTGAAAATTGTATTTACTAATTTTTTTTACAGCCGATACCAGGTATCAGTATTGTTCTGGGTGGTACTGAAAATGGGCAATGAGATACTGCACGAATCCTGGACCCCCTTGGATGCTCGTCAATAAGAGTTTGTATTCCAACATAATACACTTTCCTCATACACCTTGTGGCAATCCTGGCACAAAACATATTTATGAACGCTTTTGGTCATGGATGAAAGCTCCGTTTTGTATTTGAGGCCAGAAATGTTCTATGGCAATTGTAAATTCTTCTTGTAAGTTGTCTAGAGCTTATTGATGAACGTTATCAGGATGACAGCGCCTTTGTTGACCACATAGCGGAGAGCTAACATTACCACAAAAGTAGTAATGATCCTGTGCACTGGGTTCTCAGGCATATCGGGCGGGGGGGGGGCAAAAGGATCTATTGTAAAAAACCAAAAAAAAAAATCATCTCCTTTTTTTTCAATTTTTTCTTTCTGCCATAGCACAACGCCAACCTTCATTAACAAATTCCTCGACCTCCACCTTAACAACATCTTCATCTTCATTATCGTTTTCTTTGTTTTCATCGCCATTGTATTTGCTGTTGTGAATCTCCTCATTCGTAACTGGAACATTCTCATCGTCAGACACTGGGGTTCCTTCCCAAGCAGGTGAGTTGGTCTGACCACACGCTTCTTCTGTGCTTCTGGATTGACATGTTTAAATGGCTGTATTTAGAATATGTTACATAGTTACGCTCTATTATTTTTATTTAAATAAATATTTCCTACGTTCAACATCAACCTCTATCAAATTTCTTTGGGCAGAAGATTGTGTTAAAACATGTTATTTTTTGAACTACAAAAAAATAGAATATAATAGAATAATACTACAAACTGCGTACCACTTTCACATCTTATAGCATCTAATCTTGCTCTTTTGTTATGGCGCTGAGCAGTTTTTCCGGCTACAGAACTATAGACTAGTTCGTTCTGACTACATCCAGCGCAATAGCACTTTTTATTGTAAGGCTGAGGGGTTGAGAACATTTGGTGTGGACAGACTAAAAGCAAAAAAAAGGGCAAAAAAAGGGTAAAACAAGTCCATCTTGAACTTAGCCAATCAGCTTTAATTATGACTGTCCACACCTTTTTTTTAAAAAAAGTTCAAAATACATATTAGGTAATGCTATGCTCATAATTCCATCACTGTCAGTAAGCATAGTCAATGCTTCATATTCAAATACATCAACATAAATAAGTCTGTTTTGTTGTGGATAAAGACGAATTTGTCTATATTATCCAATTACAACTCTTCAGAATCTTTCACTGCTTGAATCTGTATCTGCATATTGTCAAAGCATATGTATGCAAACAATATCCCCTGTCTCTAAAAGTCCTCCCAATCAGTACAAGAACTCTTAACAATTTTCATCAATAAAAATCATTCTTCTTGAGCTCAAAACTCTCTCCATCTCATAATCTAATTATCTACGCCACTTTTTTTTTACAAACACATTTATTACAGGTATAACATTTTAGCCAAAATAGCCTGTCAGTATATATTACTCTTATAAAGTTATAAATAATAATCAATACTCATCTACCTTCATTTTAACTCCATCCTTTTCGTCTCTTATTTTTTTTTAAAAAACGTATCTTCTTGTATCGCCTGTACCTTACATTAAACTATCGTAATAAAAGTATGTCCACCCCCAGCGCTATTGAGCTCGTTTCTCATCAGGAAGATGACGATCAGTCACATTCCTGGATGAAGCCAGATGGTGGTAAAGATGGATTGTCATCGATTGATCGGCTGCAGTACTTTCTGTTGAAAGACGACACAGACAATCTGAGGAAGTACCTTGGTGGCTTCAAGAACGGGAAGAAGGTCAAGGTCAGCAAGACCAGAGTGATCAACGACTGCTGCCAGTATTTTCACAAGCAGGGTGTGAAGCGCACCAGCTCTCAAATAAAAAGCAAGCTGACGTATCTGATCAACAAGCAATATCCTATTGCATTCAAAGCCTGGGAAGACAGTACAATGAGAATTGGCAAAGAAGAAATGTATCAATGTGAAAAAGATGAACTTGAAGGTATGAATATTGTTATATATAAGTTAAAACAAATATCGAAATAATTTAAATTATTTTTTAAAAGTATATCTTAATGATATATGCCCAAACTTCACACAGATAAGAAAAGTACTTGGTGAAAGTAAGGCAAAGTCATCTGCCATATGTAATACAACAACGTTCTTCGACTTAAACAAAGCCCAAGACATAAGCAAGGGCGAGGACGGTGAAGACGGTGAAAACAATGGAGGTGACGAAGCCAGTGAGAGCAGTACCTCCGAGCACTCTGACGCCAGTGCGTACAGTGGCAAAAGACGGTCTAAATTCTTTGGCAAGATTGTGAAGAACACGGCAAAGAGATCAGTTAAGAGCATAGAGGATGTCGGGCATGGTATAAAAGAGTTCAATGATGCCCGGATATTGCTCTTAGAATCAAAGTATGAGAAAGAGCTCAAGAACCAGAAGGAGAAGCTGCAAAAAAAGCTTCAATGCGAGCAGTGGGTAAAAGGAGTGATCCTTATGGCGAAAACATTTGACTGGTCTGAGGAGAAGACTAAGAATGAATTAGAAGAGGTGTATAATCAATACCTTAATTAATAAATTATATTTCTTCTATTTATACTATGCGTTTAATTTTTATATATATTTATATACAAATTCTCAGAACTAATGTTATTTTATTTAAAAAAATGTAAAGGCATGTAGACTATATAAAAATACTATCATTAAAGCAGGCAAAATTGATCTTCTACTTACGTCTTCAAAATAGTTTGATAATAAAATATTAAAGAAAGAGAAGAACATAAATAATGACGAAATATCTATTTAATTACAGCTGTCAAATGCCGAAAAGTGAGATCTATCTAATAGATATAAAAGCTAATACTTCTGTTTTTTTTAATGCATTTAGAATGATCAAAGTTTATTTTCTTTATTCAAGAAGATGTATTCTTTTCTTTTGACATAACAACACGTTGTGTCTGAATCCACCTTGTATTTCCGTCTATATTCTGGGATCCATCTACTACACCAGACTCCTCTGAATATCCTGTCTTCCGCAGGCGTTCAACTTCAGCTTTCTCTCTATCTTCCCATCGACGCTTGGCTTCCTGAGACCATTTGTCGTCATCTTGACACATCAGGAAATTGTTCAAGGCTACGCAAACCCGAATCCATGCATTAACCTTTACAACATCTTCCTTTCTTTTTATCCTTACAGGGATTGATTTGAGAGAGTAGAATCTCTCTTTTAAGATTCCAAATGCATGCTCAATTTTTACTTGCATTCTCGAGATCTTTGTATTGAACCCTTGATCTGCTAACGAGAGTTCACTGTTCCTTGACTTCTTTTTGATTGGAACAATATAGTTTGTAGTCTTGTATTCCGCGTATGCCAACACGTACTTGTCACCAGAAAAGAATCACTTCAGGAATTTTCTAAACTCACACTTAGACGAAGTATGCATATCATGCAAACTTCCAAAGAAACCGGTTGACATGTATCGGATTATGTGTCTATTATCACACTCTGCGACACTGTTTACACAGTAAGCGGATCTGCGACCGAAAAACTGCTCTGGCTTCCACGATGGTGCTTTTGCCAGCTTAAATAAGCATCCGTCAAGAAATCCAACAAGGTTTGGAAATCCTAATGGATATTCATTTGCTCGTTTTATCTCTGCTTTCTCAGATTCGGTTGGCCAATAAACGAACTTGTGCTCTAAAGAGAGAATTACTTTGAAGAATCTGGTTGTTATATTCTCGATAGAGCCCTCTATTTGTTTTTATTGTAGGAAACAGGTGAATAAATTTGCTTTTGTATATGTGGGTAAACAGTCGTAGACTATTATCCTGAGTTACTTACTTCCTATTCCAGAACGTCTTGCCAAACGGCCACTTGACGAAGAATTACCATTTGATCCTAATCGGTCAAGAACAATGGAAATCTGTAGTCTAACATCGATCGAGTAAAATCCTGACAATTGTTGGCAAAGCTCGTGGTTTTTTACAAGATCATACAGCTTATAAAAAGAGCTTTTGCTCATTCGAAGCTCTTCCAGGAAGCCGCTTTCATCCAAGGCAAGCAGAAAATTCAATCTTTCTTTTCGAGTTACAAGTTTCTTGGCCTTGTTTTGCCCTTTGAAAAAATAGCGTCCTTTGCTGATTTTGTCTTGGGCCTTCGTAACCATCAATTTCTCCTGTTGTAGCTTTAATTTGCATATGTTTGCACCATCTTTGTACCTATCATGATCTTCCTCACAAGCAATGACATTAGAGTCGGACAAAATCTTGATCATCTTCTTCAACGTGTGTTGAGTGATAGCTGCAGATGCATCCAAAGTTGATTTTACGAGTATATTTATTGGAGTATGCGCCATTTTTTTAAGATAATAAGTAAAAGAGTAATATATTTCTCACTTTTATATATACTAGTATTTAATTATAGCAAGTATATATGCTTCAAACCGTCGTTTGCTATTTAAATGTAATGCAACTAGAAGGGATGCATGACACTATTATGCAAGTAGTATCAGACGAAAACTGACCAATCATAGCCGTTAATTAATTTTGCCCTTTTTTTGAACTTTTAGTCTGTCCACACCAACTCTTTCCGGAAATTATTGGTGCAAAAATAAAAATCAATTTGGTGCACAAACAAAAATAAATTTGGTGCAAAAATAAAAAATTATTTAGTGCAAAAACAAAAGATAAAATTTGATGCATTTTTTTTTACCATTTCTCTGCTTAATTCATCTTTTTTGGTGCATTTGGTGCATTTGGTGCATTCCATTTTTGCACCAAATTGATTTTTATTTTTGCACCAAGAATTTCCGGAAAGAGTTGGTGTGGACAGACTAAAAGTTCAAAAAAAGTTCAAAAAAAGGGCAAAAATTTAGGCCATTTTATTGGATGAGAGTTTTAATTAATTTTGCCCTTTTTTGAACCTTCAAAAAAAGGGCAAAAAAAGGGCAAAATTAATTAACGGCTATGATTGGCCAGTTTTCGTCTGATACTACTTGCATGATAATATCATGCATCCCTTCTAGTTGCATTACACTTAAATAGCAAACGACAATTTAAAGCATATATACTTGGTATAATTAAATACTAGCGTGTATAAAAGTGAGAAATATATTACTCTTTTACTTATTATCTTAAAAAAATGCCGCATACTCCAATAAATATACTCGCAAAATCAACTTTGGATGCATCTGCAGCTATCACTCAACACACGTTGAAGAAGATGATCAAGATGTTGTCCGACTCTAATGTCATTACTTGTGAGGAAGATCATGACACGTACAAAGATTTTGCAAGCATATGCAAATTAAAGCTACAACAGGAGAAATTGATGGTTACGAAGGTCCAAGACAAAATCAGCAAAGGACGCTATTTTTTCAAAGGGCAAAACAAGGCCAAGAAACTTGTAACTCGAAAAGAAAGATTGAATTTTCTGCTTGCCTTGGATGAAAGCGGCTTCCTGGAAGAGCTTCGAATGAGCAAAAGCTCTTTTTATAAGCTGTATGATCTTGTAAAAAACCACGAGCTTTGCCAACAATTGTCAGGATTTTACTCGATCGATGTTAGACTACAGATTTCCATTGTTCTTGACCGATTAGGATCAAATGGTAATTCTTCGTCAAGTGGCCGTTTGGCAAGACGTTCTGGAATAGGAAGTAAGTAACTCAGGATAATAGTCTACGACTGTTTACCCACATATACAAAAGCAAATTTATTCACCTGTTTCCTACAATAAAAACAAATAGAGGGCTCTATCGAGAATATAACAACCAGATTCTTCAAAGTAATTCTCTCTTTAGAGCACAAGTTCGTTTATTGGCCAACCGAATCTGAGAAAGCAGAGATAAAACGAGCAAATGAATATCCATTAGGATTTCCAAACCTTGTTGGATTTCTTGACGGATGCTTATTTAAGCTGGCAAAAGCACCATCGTGGAAGCCAGAGCAGTTTTTCGGTCGCAGATCCGCTTACTGTGTAAACAGTGTCGCAGTGTGTGATCATAGACGCATAATCCGATACATGTCAACCGGTTTCTTTGGAAGTTCGCATGATATGCGTACTTTGTCTGAGTGTGAGCTTGGAAAATTCCCAGAGCGATTCTTTTCTGATGACGAGTACGTGTTGGCATACGCGGAATACAAGACTACAAACTATATTGTTCCAATCAAAAAGAAGTCAAGGAACAGTGAACTCTCGTTAGCAGACCAAGAGTTCAACACCAAGATCTCGAGCATGCGAGTAAAAATTGAGCATGCATTTGGAATCTTAAAAGAGAGATTCTACTCTCTCAAATCAATCCCTGTAAGGATAAAAAGAAAGGAAGACGTTGTAAAGGTTAACGCATGGATTCGGGTTTGCGTAGCCTTGAACAATTTCCTGATGTGTCAAGATGACGACAAATGGTCTCAGGAAGCCAAGCGTCGATGGGAAGATAGAGAGAAAGCTGAAGTTGAACGCCTGCGGAAGACAGGATATTCAGAGGAGTCTGGTGTAGTAGATGGATCCCAGAATATAGACGGAAATACAAGGTGGATCCAGACACAACGTGTTGTTATGTCAAAAGAGAAGAATAAATCTTCTTGAATAAAGAAAATAAACTTTGATCATTCTAAATACATTAAAAAAAACAGAAGTATTAGCTTTTATATCTATTAGATAGATCTCACTTTTCGGCATTTGACAGCTGTAATTAAATAGATATTTCGTCATTATTTATGTTCTTCTCTTTCTTTAATATTTTATTATCAAACTATTTTGAAGATGTAAGTAGAAGATCAATTTTGTCTGCTTTAATGATAGTATCTTTATATAGTCTATATGCCTTTACATTTTTTTAAATGAAATAACATTAGTTCTGAGAATTTGTATATAAATATATATAAAAATTAAACGCATAGTATAAATAGAAGAAATACAATTTATTAATTAAGGTATTGATTATACACCTCTTCTAATTCATTCTTAGTCTTCTCCTCAGACCAGTCAAATGTTTTTGCCATAAGGATCACTCCTTTTACCCGCTGCTCGCATTGAAGCTCTTTTTGCAGCTTCTCCTTCTGGTTCTTGAGCTCTTCCTCGTACTTTGATTCTAAGAGCGATATCCGGGCATCATTGAACTCTTTTATACCATGCCCAATATCCTCTATGCTCTTGACTGATCTTTTTGCCGTGTTCTTCACAATCTTGCCAAAGAATTTAGGGCGTCTTTTGCCACTGTACGCACTGGCGTCAGAGTGCTCGGAGGTGCTGCTTTCACTATTGCTTTGGACAATGGCCTCTCTCTGAGAACTGATCTCATTGCTGACATCAGCTCCCTGTTCTTCTTGGTCTTTGCAGCTTTTGCTGCTCTCACTGGCTTCGTCACCTCCATCATTTTCACCGTCTTCACCGTCTTCATCCTTGCTCATGTCTTGGGCTTTGTTTAAGTCCAAGGGCGTTGTTGTATTACATACAGCAGGTGACTTTGCCTTACTTTCACCAAGTACTTTTCTCATCTGCGTGAAGTTTGGGCATATATCATTAAGATATACTTATAAAAAATAATTTAAATTGTTTAGATGTTTGTTTTAACTTATACGTAACAATATTCATACCTTCAAGCTCATCTTTTTCACGTTGAGACATTTCTTCTTCGCTAATTCTCATTGTGCTGTCTTCTCAGGCTTTGAATGCAATAGGATATTGCTTGGTTATCAAATACGTCAGCTTGCTTTTTATTTGAGAGCTGGTGCGCTTCACACCCTGCTTGTCAAAATACTGGCAGCAGTCGTTGATCACTCTGGTCTTGCTGACCTTGACCTTCTTCCCGTTCTTGAAGCCACCAAGGTACTTCCTCAGATTGTCTGCGTCGTCTTTCAGCAGAAAGTACTGCAGCCGATCAATCGATGACAACCCATCTTTACCACCATCTGGCTTCATCCAGGAATGTGACTGATTGTCATCTTCCTGATGAGAAACGAACTCAATAGCGCTGGGGGTGGACATACTTTTATTACAATAGTTTAATGTAAGGTACAGGCGATACAAGAAGATAATTTTTTTTATAAAAAAAAAGACGAAAAGGATGGAGTTAAAATGAAGGTAGATGAGTATTGATTATTATTTATAACTTTATGAGTAATATATACTGACAAGCTATTTTGGCTAAAATGTTATACCTGTAATAAATGGATTTGTAAAAAAAGTGGTGTAGATAATTAGATTATGAGATGGAGAGAGGTTTGAGCTCAAGAAGAATGATTTTTATTGATGAGAATTGTTAAGAGTTCTTGTATTGATGGGGAGGACTTTTAGAGACAGGGGATATCGTTTGCATACGTATGCTTTGACGATATGCAGATACAGATTCAAGCAGTGAAAGATTCTGAAGAGTTGTAATTGGATAATATAAACAAATTCGTCTTTATCCACAACAAAACAGACTTCTTTATGTTGATATATTTGAATATGAAGCATTGACTATGCTTACTGACAGTGACAGCATTATGAGCATAGCATTACCTAATATGTATTTTGAACTAATTTTGAACTTTTTTTAAAAAAAAGGTGTGGACAGTCATAATTAAAGCTGATTGGCTAAGTTCAAGATGGACTTGTTTTACCCTTTTCTTGCCCTTTTTTGAACTTTTAGTCTGTCCACACCAAGTGTATATTAAAAAAGAGATAATACTGAAATCGTACCAAACGAGAATAGCCGAATCATGTTTGAAAACCTAATTAGATCAAACAGGCTCTTAACATATCTACTTTTCTACAGAAGGAAGTCATTAAAGAAAGAAATTGAGCTCAAGTCAGAACACTTAGATATAGAAGAAGTACGATTAATATACAAGCTTTTATCCTTAAATTCCTGTCGAAAGTCAGTGTTTATGGTAGTTAACGGCTTGAATCCCATATGAAGTATACTTATATGTACGAATAAGGAATACTAGCATCTCGCGGAATCAATCACTATTCAAAAGAAGTAACAGAAGGCCAAGAAAGACAATTGAATCGAGCAGATTTAAAGCTGCATGCTTATGGCAAAGACATTGGCATCTGAAACGTACAACTAATACGTTTATTATGTTTTTAACAAACTTGAGCCAGTTGTTCAACTTTTATGGGAAAAACACAGCCAATAATTAATTTAGTTTATATTAGGCTAGGCAGAGAACGCCAGAAATAATAGCACACATTTTGACAAATGGTGGTTCAGAATACTATAGGAATATGCGAAGAAACAAGAACAAGAAGAAAAAGAAGAAATATATGGAGGTGTATCGATGGCAGAAATATGAAAGTCAAAAGTAAAAGACGAGATTTTTTAGGAGAAAGTTTGAATATATAGAGACCCTCGCATATGAAGAAGACAGAACAAGAGTCTTGTTGATCGTTTTGGGGGATGTCATGTTTGGGAAAGATTTGGTCAAGCGGAAGAGGAACCGGCGTGGGGTTATTAGTAAACTTTTTGCCACATAGAAAACGTGTAGCTTCTGTTTTCTTGATGAGCTTGAAGCAGCCAGGACACCCGGTTTTAAGAACTTTGGTGTTCTGCAGAGTTTGCAATGTGACCAGGTGTGTCAGGGTGAGTCAAAGGAATCTCAATGCTGTCATTAATATGATAACCATCCCCAAGTCAGTTTGGCCAGGAGAAGAAGGACATGAGGTCTTTAACCGTTAGAAAAAAATCCAAGAAGAACAGTGTTAAAGTCGACACTGTCTCTTTCATGATACTATTGATCACTCTACCTGTTCTTCCGACAGATATCTCTACTTTTCTCTTCAGCACGTACATAAGGTTAGTGGTATTGGTACAGTTCCCGTTAGGAGTGCAAAAAATGGTATCATTAAAGCTAGTATGATAGTTAATTTCGCATTCGAACCATCCCTGTCAGACGCTGTTTCTTCAAATCAAAAAAAAAAGAGACTCCCTTGTATCGCCATATTAAACACGGTTTCCTTTTTATTAAGGATTTTAATTATTGTGGTTAAAAAGTCTAAACATAGATCTCTGTTCGTCTAGAAACTAATTTTCATTCGCCCAGAAAAAAAAATCTAACATCATCTAAATCTCAAGTAAAAGCACTTTAAGATGATAAAGTAAGGTTCTTCTATAATCAAATGAAATGGAGTAATTTTTAACTTTAATCAAAGTGGCTTTATACTTTTAAGTGCTATAATTTGCTACTGTTTTTTAAGCTCTAAAATTTAGTGTTTTTTTTCACTTCTTTACTATGTGTATACTTGAATAGTTATCATATACTTTTACTTGATAAAAAAGAAAAGACAAAAATATTATGTAAATTTAAGTTGAACAAATACTTTATTTTATTATTTATGTTCATCTATAAAAATAAATCATCACAATAGCCCAATAAAAGTCAACATGCAAGCAACCAAGCAAGTGAGCAAGTGAGCAAGTGAGCAAGCAGAGCCAAAGAGTAAATTAGCAAGCAAAGGGGCAAAGGATGGAATGAATGCCAGACTCGTAGTTTCGGAATATGGAATGTCTGTGCTGACCTAGTACTTTAAGTCTGCGCCAGTCATTTTCTCGGAGAGGAAAAGAGCGCGAGCGCGAGGGCGCGTTCCTTTCTCTTATTTGCTTGCCATATTATTCACTTTATTATATTATTATTTTTAAAATAAATAAATAAATAAATAAATAAATAAAACAGTTCCTTTTATATTTAACAATGTCCAACATTCGCATGGTAATATATACATATACATATACATATATGTCTGACTTCTTTTCTTCTTCTATACACGAAAGAAGTTACTGAGAAACATAATCGAAAAGTACCTTGACAAAGTTAACCTTACATTCTCTTTTCTTTTATTTCAAAAACAAAAACAAAAAGCTTAATCAAAAAGAGGAGGCCGACTCCGATGTCGAGGTTTCCTGGGCCGATCAGCAAAAGATTAATGAGTTTAGTAAACTGAATGCCAAAATTGATGATCTCGAGGAACAGTACGAGAAGATGAAGGTACAAAAATAAAATAAAAAAAAAGATAAAATATGGATCTACCAGTTATGTTTTTTTTTTGGTCGCTCGTCAATAACAAATATTGACCTATATATGTGCATGCCTTTTAGCAAGAGAAAGAATACTTGGATGATGTTGCAATGGAACTTGAATTGGCAGATGAGGATGAACCTGTGAGATACAAGGTCGGTGATACATTTGCACATGTACCTGTTTCCGAAGCACTAGAGCGCGTTGAGAAAGATACCGAAAAGATTCAGCTCGAACTTGATAATATCCGAAGCGATGTAGAGAGTGTACAGGGCAAAATGGAGGAATTGAAGAAGTTATTATATGCAAAGTTTGGAAATGCTATCAATCTCGAAAAGGATTAACTTGAATTTGAATTTGGCTTGACTTTGATATTCTTGGGGTTTGAAACGGAATAGAATACACACACACATATATATACATATATATATATATATAACATATAATAAAGATAATAATGAAAAAGAAGATAAGAGCAAAGAGGAAGAAGAGGAAGAGGAAGAAGAGGACCCTGCAAGTCCTTTGAGAGAGCTTTTTGTTTCTTTCTTTGGTCTGTCCACTTTTGACTCTGTTTGTCTGTTTTCTATATATATTTGGCTTTTGATTTTGTTTCTAATCTATGAGTTTCTTTTTGTGTAGTGGGTGTAGTGTTTGTGTAAAGAGAGATTGAGGAATAAATGGTGTATATAGATGTGTGTGGGTGTGGGTGGGTGGGTAGAGTCTAGAAAGAAAAGAAAAGAAGACAGAGGCTTATTTCTTCTCACCGAGCTTCTTCTCTAACTTTTCGAATTCTTTCAATGCAACGGTTTCGTTTTCATCGAATACTTGCTCCACACTCTGTACTTCGGGAATGTAATGCATCAGCATGTTTTCGATGCCGTTCTTGAGTGTGATGACAGAGCTGTCACAGCCACGACAGCTGCCCTTGAGCTTGAGTTTCACAATTCCGTCCTCGAATCCACAAAATTCAATGTCACCGCCATCTTCCTGGATAGAGGGACGAATGCGGGTGTCCAAAAGCTCCTTGATCATCTGGACCTCTTCAGAGTCATCAGGATGAATTGCAGTGTCACTTGCAGCCAGGTCAGCCTCATCATAGACAATGGGTTGGCCAGAAGAGAAGTGGTCCATTATGGCTGCATAAACATCGGGCTTCATCAGTTGCCACTCGCTGTAAGGATCCTTGGAGATCGTGACAAAGTCTGGGCCGAAAAACACACCCACAACTCCGTCAATCTTGAAAAGCTGCTTGGCCAAAGGAGATTTCATTGAAGCACGTACGTCAAGGAACTCTGTCGAGCCACTTCCCATCACAGGTACGCCAGGAATGAACTTAAGAGAGTCGTTGTTGGGAGTTGACTCGGTTTGGATAAACATGGTACGAACTAACAGATGTACACACACGTACATGTATACACACATACACAGATTACATACATAAAAATCGTTTATATTTATATTTATATTTTATTTTATTTTAAATTGTATTTTATTTTTATTTAATGAAAGTAACATATATATATATATATATAATGTGTTTATAGATAAAATATATAAAGAAAGAAAGAAAGAGAGAGAGAGAGAGAGAAGTACAAGTACAAGATTCTCTTTGTGTTTTCTTCTTCTCTCTTAACTTCATTCTGCTTTGAGTATTATTTTTATTTTGAGTTTTTTACCTTGATTAGCCAAGAGGGATCTTTGTGTTGCAGATATTTTGCGAGTAGACCAGGCAGAGGATAAGTTTGTCAAGGGGCTCTTTGACATAAAGGTTCTTTGGATAGGTTGCTGAATTGCACTCTTGTGACGAATGCCAAAGGTAGCAATGCGTGTCAGTTGTGTAAATGCGTTTCTGGTCGACATTAAATAGGTACAATTAAAAGAAGTAATGTAAGAAGAATAAGAGAACAAATAAAATTAAAAAATTAAAAAATTAAAAAAATAAACAAGCTAGGAAGCCAGGTTGATCAAATGAACCCCACCCATTGAGGCTATAAAGCAGTCACTTGTTTGTAAGCTAAAGGGAAATTGTCGCAGGATTGGATTTGTCATGAATGTCCCAGAAGGAAGGCTAAATTGTTTCCGTTTTAATTTATGTCTATAGATCTATTGAATGGATCAATTACTACTAGCTCTATATAGAGTATTAGGCGTAGATTGTATATGTATACATCTAGAGAATGTCTCTATTGCACAACCATATAAAAATATGAAAAAAAGCAATATTTTTTATTTATTTATTACACCAAAAAAGTCTTTGTAGCCCTATTTTCTTGTATAGTCAGATTATCTATATAAATCAAACCGGTGAAAATTTATCCTGCACAACATCAATCCACATAAATAATACAACAAAATAAAAAGGCCTGTGCTTTTATTTAATTTAATTTAATTTAAATATTTATAATACTCTGTATATACAACTGAAATTTATTTGGATCTTTAAATTTTTGGTCAAAGTGTTCCAATGCAGTGTATGCTGTGTTCTTTTGTGAATTGAGAGACCATGAAAGAAATACACTATAAATGTAGAGGGAATAATCTTCTTTATTTCTCGATATTTTTATCAGCTGTCTTTATATATATTTTGTTCTATTTCCAAGCAAGTTGTGATTAGCACATGAAAACCCTTAATCTTTTTTTTTTTTTGCTGTTATTATTCGATTAATATTACTATTGACCCTGAAATATAAAGCAAAAGGCATGTAGAGTAAGCTGTTTCTTTTGGTGTCTTTGCTAATACACCATCTGTAATTCTCACACTCACACAAAGATATACAGATTTCATAAAGTGCATTTGTTAGTTAATTGACTCTTCTTTTGAATAGCACAAACATGTACGTAGCAAGCAAAAAATTATCACCTAGTATATCAAATATGACGCTTAGATATATGTATGAGATTAGCCGAAAAATAAAAGCATCTATTGGGATATTCAAACATCATAGGCTTAATTTATTTATTTTTCATTTTAAAGAAGCGTCATTTGGCCACAGGAGAAATTAAGCTGCCTTTACCATCTCGGTCTCTTTTTTGTATATAGTTTCTGTCTGGGTTTTAATGTTTTGGTTTTGTCTCACGTGCGAGTTTGAGTGTAAGTGGTAAGTGTGTGTGTGTGTGTGTTTAGGTGGTTCTCTATTCTTCATAGCTACTAAAAGTGTGGTCGAGCTTTTTTGCTGTTTTGTTTCGAGAAAGAGAGAAAGAGAGAATCTCTTTGGGCTTGTTCCTGCCAAAGCCTCCTCTTGCCCCTACTAACTCCCTTTTCTTAAAAGGAAAACCCCTACCCTTCAACCCCTCTCTCCCTCTCTCCCTCCCTCCCCTCTCTCAGCCGCCGCTTCTTTCTTTTTATTCTTTTATTTTTTTTTTTATTTTTTTTTGAACTCTTTCTCTTTCACTTTCTTATATAAACCAAAAGAATCATTATAAAAATAATATAAAATAAAAATAAAAATAAAAATAAAAATAAAAATAAAAATTCATAGCCTAGAAAATTATCTATACTAAATAAAAATAAAAATAAAAATAAAAATAAAAAAAGCTTAGCCAAAAGAAAAAAATAAAAAAATAAATAAAGAGAGAGAAAAGCCAAACCCTCGTAAACCCACAAACTAAAGACCAAAGACCAAAGACCAAAAATAAAAATAAAAATTAAAGAAAGAAAGAAAGAAAGAAAACAGAATGGAGATCAAAAGTACTTCAACACTACGACGTGGTGGAGGTGGTGCCAAGCGGGCTACAAGAACCCTCAATCCAACTCAAGTTTATGATTATGCACTTCGGTGTGCCATTCGAGCCTGTATTGAACAAAGTGGTCCACAGCCGGTTGTAAAAGAACCAAAGAAGGAGAGACAATCGGTTCACATTGGCGTCGGTGATGTGTTTGGAAGTATTACAGACAAGTTTGGCGAAGAGAGTAAACCCGACAAGTTGACAAAGGAAATCGTGCGAGGATTGATGCGTCGAGTGGATGACATTAGCAAAGCAAAGGACACATCCAAAGCAGAATACCAAGACAAGCGCTTCTTGACTGTTATCTCGCAGTTCCAGAAAGTCTTGTTACAGCATCGCTACAAACCAACCGGCACTGTCAATGACCTCGTCATCATCTTTCTCAAGACTAGTGAAGTTGAGCTCAAACGAGCTAACCCAAACCCGGCTATCTGGTACGAAGAGCTGAATCGATATATTGCCATTTTTGCAGAATTGGTTATCCAGACCGTCCAGGAAGATGCTCCGTCGGCAGCAACCCCAGAACTGATGGAGAAACTTAATGGGTTTGTGGGACCATCAAAGTCTGCTGCTGCTGCTGGAGGAGGTGGGGAAAATGGTAAGTCTGGAGCAGGTGCTTCTGGAGGCCGTCGTGCACCAGAAAAGAAGCCCACTCCAGGCGCACCTTCTTCCCCCCTTCCGTCTGGATCGATCGAAGCCCTGGAAAACTTTCCTATGGTCAAGACCGTCCAGAGTCTTTTTCAAATGGATGATGCGGATCATCGAAAGAAATTACGTGAATTACAACCCATCTGTACAGAATCCGTAAGTTTTCTTCATTTGGTTGGCCCAATAAAGGATTACTTTTTTTTTCTATTTACTTTTGACTAAAAGAGAAACTAACAAAAATTAAGCTTCTTTCTCTTTTTTTTTGTTTTATTTAGGCTCTCTTACTTGATCTCAAAAAATGTATAAACAATGTACACACAAACCAACCCTTTCCAGGAAGACGCGAAGATTTCCCTAGTCAACAGATGTACGACAACTGGCAGAAGCGTGAACTCAAACAGCTAACAGAGTTAATGAAGACACTCATGTTGATGAACCCAAAGCTCTCTCTCGGTGCAGGAAGCGAAACAGATGTAGGCAGCTCAAACTTACTTGCCAAAGGTCCCACACGTCGGCAGGGATCCCTGACTGATACCAACAGATCCTCGATCTACAATATCCAAGAAGATGTTCCTCTTCCAAGCGTTAGTATTATACGCACATAAATAATGTAATCTCTATTAACCTTTTGCTATCTGTTTCTTAATCTTTGTTTCAAACAACAACGACGACGACAAATAAAATAGCCTCGTACAGAATCCCTTCAGAGCCCCTTTACTTATGTTCCCAATGATCCCCGTTCATTTTTCCGTCTGCTGATGAATATGTGCATTGATTATGACACAAAAGTAACTCCGGATGCTGAGCGTGCCAAGACCAGTGTTCTGTCACAACAATCGGATGAACTTCTCCGTGAATGCTGGAAGACATGGCGTCTCACATCGCCTTATCGAGCAGTCTTGTATCTCGAACTTGTAAAGACTCGGTTTGAATTAGGTGAACTGGATTTCGAAGACATCAGAGACGCCACACGAGCCCTTGACAAAGCAATAAAGGAGAACGATGTCAATTCATGGGCTATAAATGATGTATGTTTGTTTTGCTATCTGTCTATAAATGTTTACTAATATTCTATTCTTTTATATCTGTACATTAAAATCTATATAGAGAGAAAGTCTAATCAGAGCCTTTGAGGGATTGAATCAAACTCTATTGCATTCATTGGCAGATGCTTTATCAGAATATTGGAAAATTAGGCAAGTAACAAATAAATGTAAAGTTTTTTTTCTTCTTCTTTTTCTCTATTATTTATCTAGTATACATATACAAATTGAAACAACAAGTCTAACTTTACGTCTGTCTGCACCTAATATCTTCTTCTATAGCCCAGAATGGGTGGCAGACTTGGTGGGTATGCTTGATAAGATCTATGAGAATACAGCTTACCTTGAAGACCATGCCGATCCCCTCCAGGAGTTTATTCTTCTTGAAGAAACAATAGAGGTAATACAAAAAGAATCATAAGAGATGTAGATACATAAATTTATTCTTATGCTTCAAATATTTCTATCTGGTGCCTGTCCTCATAATAACAAATGATAAATAGGGTGCAGCTGTTGAGCGGTGGAGATACATTGAAAAGGTGTCCAATAATCCAGAAAACGACGACCTCACAAATCTTTTGACCATGGCAGACAAGCTCCAAAAGGAACTTGTTTCTCTTTCAAAGCGAAAATTCAAAACACCAATCAAAGGGTAAAGTATTGCTACATTACATCAATTGGTGCAAATAGGCAGACAGACATATATATATATATATATATATATATATATATATATATATTTATTTATTTATTTATCTGTACGTTTTGATTTTCTCATTGATATTTACTTTATTATAGTATTCTGTCAATTCCTGGAATTGTCATGTCAAGACAGATGCCCTACTTTGCCTTGGAAATCGACAATTGGGCATTTTCAAAAGAAGCCTCGACAGCATCTATTGATGTAACATTTGAATTCTATCAAAAGGTTCTCAGTTTAAAGAGACTTTATGATCAACATGGTCCAAAGTGAGCTTTTATTTCTATTTATTTATTTTACTAAAAAAAAATCGAGGATTTTTCTTTAATTGTTGTTATATATTTTTTTTGTTGTGTAGAAAACAAACTTCATTATTCAAAGTCGAGTCATGGTTCTTACAGCATGTTCGACGATGGTTGAGTACTACAAGTGCAGCAACTCTTGAGTGGGTTGAGAATGCCATCAAGGAAGATCATGTAAGTCAATTTTTTTTGCTCTAAAAAGAAAAAGAAAAAAACTCGGTGGTTCAATTCAATGCAAGCGAATTGATTTCATTTCATTTAATGTCATATCTAACTTGGCCATATATTTGATGTCTTCTATTGTTCTTTAGTTTGAGAGCATTAATGAAACGGCAATGCATTCTTCATCTATTGTTGATCTCTTCAGTATGTTTCATCAAGCAGTTGATTTTGTTCAAAGTCTTCAATGGCCCAACGATCTTCAACATTGTCGTTTCTTGACAGCACTTTCAAAGGTATATAAAAAAAAACATATATATGTATATAATGAAGCTCGCCCCCCTTTTTTTCTTTTTCTTTGGACGTTTATTATTGGTGGGATGGTTACAAGTATTACTAGTATTATTCTGAATGCTAAAAGAAAAGATAATGGTTTGTCATAATGTCTGTAGGTGATTGGTGTTGCTATTGAAGAATATACCTACACTTTGGAGGACATGATTACCGAAGATATCAACCCTCGTATTGAACACACACCCGAAGTTGCAGCAAATACTTCTTTCCTCGACAGAGCCAGATTCCAGCTTTATGGAGCACGGGGTACAGCAAAAGATGAGGGAGTTCCAGCAGATTTTACACCAGAGGCAAGTAAATTCTTTTAATCCTATTTTATTTGTTTATTTGTTTTACGTATATGTATTAATACATAATACATAATTCAATATTTACATCAGCTCTGTGTCAAAGTTAATGACATTGAAGCTGCCCGTGGACGACTCGACAGACTGTACCAGATCATGGAAGTCGACGATATTGCCGAAATCATGCGTGAATTTGGATCGCCAAGCACGGCAGTAGAAAAGACCGAAAACAACAACTTTCTGTACTCGATCAAGATCGTGCGCGCCGAGGATCTGCAGCCCTTGGACAAGAATGGACTCAGCGACCCATATGTTGTGCTGGAGATCAACGGCAAACAGATCACCCGTACCCGCACTGTCTACGAAACGCTTAACCCGCGCTGGGACCAAATCTTTGACATCTGGCTGACCGAAAAGGCCGTCGATGTCCTGGCGGTTGTTTATGACGAAGACATGATTGGGGCCAACGAAGAGTGTGGTCTGGTCTGGTTCAAGCTCTCGCCAGAGTATTTTGACGATTACCAGTCCCATGAGCTGGGGCTTAACTTGCACCCACAGGGTAAGCTGATCCTCAGAGTGAGCATGGAAGGTGAAAAGGATGACATTCAGTTCTGGTTCGGTAAGGCGTTCAGAACTCTCAAGCGAGCTGAAAACGATGCTGCTGGTTTAATTGTTGACAGAGTAAGTAACACACGCATATATGCTAAGAAGAAGAAAGAGTCAAGTTGTTCATATTATTATCATTTGATATACTTTGGGATATTAATTATTTTCTCTCTCTGTGTGTGTGTGTGTGTGCGTTCCTTTTTTTCTTAAAAGATGGGTCGTTATATGCGCCAGTGTCTATCACGCCGGATACTAGATAGAGTATTGGGAAGAGACCGCAGTTTCTTTTCTGCTTTCAACAGAGCTACAAAACAAGCCGACATTACCTTACAAGAATGTGAAGACGCAATTGCACCTCTTCTGGATTATCTGGAGAAGAACCTCCATGTCCTCAACGATCATCTTTCGGAGGCCAATATGCAAATGGTTCTTCTTCGAGTATGGAAAGAAATTCTCTTGACTCTCGAGTGTGTATTGCTACCACCACTTTCTGAACAACCTTCTGAAATGAAGCCCTTGGATGATTATGAAATACATGTGGTATTCAAATGGCTTGAGGTAAGTTTTTTTTTTTAATTAATAATAATTGTTTTAATGATACTATTTGACTCTAAATACTTATGTATATTGGTAGCTGTTGAAAATCTTGTTTAATGGTGGTGAGGATGGTGATGCTGTGCCAATCGATAGACTCGAGACATCTCAATACTATGCTCTGTTGGCCATCAATGCGGCTTATAATGTTGATACCGAAACATTGATCCAGGACTACCACACGGTCTTGAAAAACCAGGTTGAAATGAAGATGAGAGGAGGTCGTAAGGCAGACAGAAGTAAGACAGTCTACCACTCAAAGCACACCGTCCGAAGACGCAAAACCGATCGCAAGTCTGTCTCGATGGATATGCCAAGTAGTGAAACAATCTTGCGTATTCTTCGGATGCGACCCGGTAAGCATGTACAGAGTTTCTTGCATGCCGAATTTGAGAAGCGCAAGAATCCACCAAATGCGGCTCAGCAGCAACAACAACAGCAGCAGGACCAACAGTTGCAAATACAAGAGCAATCTCAAGAGGGACTACCACAACAGCAACAGCAGCAACAGTTTATTGCTTCTGGAGACAATGCTGATGTTATCTTACCCATGGAGTCAGGGTACCCAGGTACACCTTCGGAAGAAACAACACTACCCATGTAAATGCTACAGTACCGAGCACTGGCTTGTTCGTGTTTACCTGTGTATGTGTATGTGTGTGTGTGTGTTTGTTTGTGTATGTATGTATATGTATGTATATGTATGTATATGTATGTATGTATGTGTATGTGTATGTGTATGTGCGTTTCCTTTTCTATATATATATATATATATACATATCCCTGATCCCAGATCCCAGATCCCAAATTCTCCTTCTTCTACATCCTCTTCTATCACTTTCCCTTTTAACTCTACAATAAGCATAGTGCCTAAATATTGATACCCACATCGTTCTCTCTATCCTTCTCCTCTTTCCTATCCTTTTCTATTCCTACCCTATCCTTTACCTTTCGCTTCTATTATATATATATATATATATATATATATTCGTTCCCACACATACTTCAGAATCCATTGAAACAATCATTATTTGTTTTGTTTTGTTTTGTTTTATTTTTTTTTATAAAAAAAAATCACTGAAATATTATATATATATATATATATATATATATTCTTCAAGGCTTTGGGCAAAAATTATTCTTATTTATTTTTTCTTTTTAAAAAAATATAAGTAAGATACCCAAAAAGTGGGTATTCAAAGGTGTTAAATATATAATTAGATATATATTAAAAAAGAAAAATTTAAATTATACAGGTGAAAAAAGAAAAGAATGAAAGAATATAGACAAAAAGGATAAAATGGTAATTAAAAGAAAGAAATATAGATAATAGTTTAAGCAAGATAGGCTAGTTAAAGTAATTTACAACTTCCTTTAATAGGAAGGTATGTATATATATAGAGTAAGAAAAGTACCATTAGCACCCAAAAAGAAAATTAAAAAGAAAATTAAGATGGGTGAATTGGATTACTAAACGAATGAATGAATGAATGAATGTTATGTATGGAATGAAATAAGTAGAATGTGAGTAAAGAATGACCGAGCGAGTTGGCTATACCACACATAGATACGTATATATATATACATGTGTGTGTGTGTGTGTGTGTGTGTGTGTGTGCGTTAAAGACCTTATACTTCAGACACAGCTGGTAGCTGTGGAACAGGTGGAGGTGGGGGTGTGGATTGTGGCGGGGGCATTTGAGGCGGAAGTGTTGCCTCCCAACCAGGAATCTGGGCAAGCGATTGTCTTTTTGGGGTAGGGAAGAAAGACGAAGATAGGCGGTTTGTGGACAGGGCGGTTTGTATACTGCGAGACCGGGCCTCTTTCCAGCGTTTGTTTGGGACAATATCACCCGGAAGATGATCTCGTGCAAGTGTACATGAGTACTGATCACCAGCGCCACTGTTGTTATGGACACTACCTCCTCTGCTGTTACTACTGCCACTCTTGCTCCTGCTAATAATAACAGCAGCTGTCTGTTGGTCGTCCCTGTCAGCAGATCTTTCGTCTTTGGTGTTGTTGCTATCGGGCTTAATCGCAAGTAACCGAAAGTTATCGACCAACTCAAGATGGGACAGCAGACCGGCAGTCATTTGGCCCTGATGGCCTAGCTTGACACAAGCCACAATCTTTTTCATTGCCTCCAACCAGATTTTCATCTGTGCAACTGATTCGCATCGTAGATACCACTTGCAGAGCGGCTTTCGTAGCTCGAGCACATATCCCTTTTTGAATTCCTCGGTGACGAATACAAAGGTGTCTTCGGTGAGCAAGAAGTGTTCTTTGGAAGGGTTTGTTGGCTTTGGTGATTTGAAGATATGGACGGTCTTGTCGACCAACACAACATAGCGGCGTTTCCAGGTACGCACGAAAGCGAATGTAGATGATTCGTACTTTTGGAGCCAGGCATGACAAATAACGTTCTCAAGAGCGGTCTTGACACACATACACCAAGGGTCAAGCAGTGGGGCTTCTGTTGTGGTGAGTATCCTACTGATTTCGTTGTTCATAGTGTTGATATTGTTGTTGGTAGGGCTGCTATGGTGGTTGCTGTTGTCTGTGGAGGATTCGGCATTATTGGCCAGCGTAAGGGTCAGAGCAACAGAAGGCATTTTTGGCGAAGGGTCGGAATAGGCCTTGGTGTGGCGTTGAGGAAGGAAACGGCTGAGTTCCTGGTGGCGGAAGCTTTCAGAGCTGGTTGCACCCGACAAGAGTAGGCGGGATGAAGGGGAGAGCGAGGAGAAAGAGGTTCCTGTGGGTGACACTGTAAACAACAAAAAACTTTATATGTCTAATATTTTTTTTTCCATTCCGCTTGCAAACACAAGCCCAATCCTCTTGCTTGTTTTTTTTTGCCCTTGACTTTATTTTATACTATACTGTATTATATATATATATATATTTCATTCCAAATTTTTATATATAATATGCATATAAAGCGTTGGCTTACATTGGGGAACGTAATCGAAAGTGCCGGATTCTGCTGACCATCGACGTTGGGTATTGTCTACACTTCCAATACTACTGGCTAGGCTGTATCGTTGGCTGTGAGTCGAATTGGTTGAGGTAACCGAGTATTGGGATTGTATAGACCGTCGCAGGGCCGCTTTTTCGGCTCTGTTTTTTAAGATGGCTGAGGTTGATAGGACGCGTGTTTCGGTGGGTGTGTCGTGTATTGCGTCCTGTAAAACTAATGATGGTGCTGGAGGAGCCATTGTGCGTTTGTCTGTATCTGTATCTGTGTGCGTGTGTGTATAGAAGCTATAATAAAGATACTAATAAAAAAAACAAAAAAAAAGAAGAAGAAGAAAAAGAGAGATGGGATAAGCAAGAAGAGGAAGAATTTTTTTTTATATAAAGCCAAAAAAGAGAGAGAGAAAAAAGCTAATCGAGGCTGAGTTAATTTTTATTTATTTATTTATATGTTAATTATATATAACTATTATAATCTTTTATATATAAAAATATAAAAATATATATATGTCTTTATTTCAAATAATAAAAAAGAAATAAAGGGTATAAGCGGGCTTGAGTGACCGATGGGCTGTATACCTAAAGGAAGAAATCTCTTACTCTGGTGAATAGAAACAAATTGCTTCATTTAGCCATGCTGATCACGTGAAAACAGGCTATAAAAAGCCTTTTGGCGTCATTTGCAGCAATAAAAATGAGAGTCTAAGGTTTCTCCGATTGTTACATGAGCACAATTCTATTGAGCTTAATATTTGTCTGTCTGTCTGTCTGTCTGTCTGTCTTCTTGCCTGTCTGTGTTTGTGTGTTTTGTATGCTTATTTATCTTTGTACATTGATCGCAGTGTTAAAGGGCGGATAATTTTTAATAGCGTAAAGTAAATATTATATTTGCGCTTTTATCAAAAAATACAAAATCGCAAGTAAATTCTAATGATTAATTTT